AGAAAGGGAGACAAACAAAATACTTACTTGTGATGCTATTTCTCAAGACTGACACAAAGGGAGGGAAAAAGAAACACACAAAATACAGTTTAGATGATGACTCAACAATACATACACGAAGCAACCAGCACCAAGGACAAAATATGACAAATACGTAACACGGATAATCTAATTGTGCGTTTTGTTATTTATCATGGGGCCTTTGAATAAAATTAGGTAAAGAATGAGCTGTTGTTTTTGGTTTACCAGAAAGTGGTTGTTAGATCGTTTATTGTTTGTTTTTACGGGGGGGTGTTATTTCTAAAAATTATCTTCCTAAGCTTTCAGAGAAAAAGTACTAGAAGAAAAGAAAATGATTGGAGCTTATGAAACTGCTATATTTTTTTAATTAAAAAATTTAAATTTAGAGATTATAATGTTGTTTTTCCCCTATGTATAAATGTAAGTAAGTTCACAGAAAAATTCTCAGCTTTCCCATTGTCTATAGACTCTAAAAAACCTATCTGCCCAGTCACCATATAACCCCTAAGTATCTGGGGTGTGTAAAAATGATGCTACCTAATTTTTTCAGTTTTAAAGAATAATATTCTATTCACTTTTCAAGAAGTAGAAGTAAAATTTTGAATTATATTCTTTGGGGTAATGTCACTCAAGTCCGACTCATTGTCTAGCATTCTGACTGTTGTCACAAATATAAAAAATGCATAATAAACATTAGATTACAGGCTCCTTACAGCTGTTTATCTCAGGATTCTTAACATATGGCTGAAGGGAATAAATGCTGTTTGAGTGAATAACAGAGAGAATGGGCAGCTAGAGTTTCGAAACTATTCTATGTTAATTTTTGTTAAAATAATTTTAAGAAAATGATTTTTTAACAGGTAAACTTATATTAATAATATATTTAAAATTTCGCATTCCAGTTTAAGGACGCAGTGGTTGGTAGCTGTGAGTGTCAGCGATCACTCTATTATGCACATTTTTAAAGTTATAGGGTTTATTGACTATGGAGGTGACCGACAGTCAAACTAACACATTCCACAAATTTACTGCGTACATCGTAAAGGTGCTGGCACTTTAACATGTTTTAAAAGGATCCTTTGCTAATTCCTAGTAAAATTTTCACTGGTTATAGACACTTCAAGTAAAAGCAATTTTCAGTACACTGCAAAACCAGAGGCAGATATAGTTCTAAGTTTTCTCACCTAACGAAGAAAGATAGGGACAAGTACATTTGCTAACTCATAATTTTTCAGATTTTGGAAAGATAGTACCGTATCACATACTGTATGGTAGATTATACCCAAGTGGATTTTGGGCAACATTTTATCATAAAAAATTTAAGACATCTTCAATGAAAAGTATGAATATTCACTTTAATTGGAATAATTATTATAAATAATCTCGACAATTTAAGTGAATTTAGTGAGCTTTGGGGATGTCTGAATTGAAGTTAAAGGATTGTAGACAAAAATATTGTTCTTTATCACCAAGAGGTCCTTGTTCATCCTCTTCGTTTTGTTTGACCCAGGAGATTCTGATGTTTATAAAAATTCCCTTAGACACATATCGCTGGTGGCAGAAGTTCTTCTGGTGTGGTGAGGTGTGAGCAGCTGACAAGGGGCAGATCCAGCTGCACCTTATTTTCCACGGACTCACTTTACTCTGTTTGTATGACTCCTCCTGACATCAACACGTAGCCCACCAGAAAACTCTGAGCTCGCATTCCAGGTCTCTTATGTAATTTTAATTATAAATATTCTTTATCATCATTTGTCTTCTCAGAGATGTCTGCCAAAGTATCAGTGTTTCCTCTACTCTCACAGGCAAAGCAGCGATGTAACTTATAAGAACTATTTTTTCTCTACATAGAATCTGGTAAGACACTGAAAACAGACTAGAAATGACATAGCATACAAACTTGCCTTTCAAATGTATTTTTTAAAAATACGTGAAGTAACAAGGAAGCAAGGCCTAGAGTATTTATATTAATTTATTCCTACGATATGCTTATGTGACATGTTGGCATTTAATAAAAAATTCTTGATAGGATAGGGTAGAGTTTAACACTTGGCAGTGTAACGTGCAGAGATGGTCGATGAATGGGTCTCAAATGACTACTTCGTGGCTATAAGTCTGTCGTTGCTTTTATCAGTTATAAATACAGAGTTTAAATAGTCCAAAAATGCTATTTTTATAACCACTCCGACCATAATCTCTTCGATTTCTCTCTCATAGGATGCACCTACATTTACCTCTTTTAGCTGGATTTGTTGGCTTTTCTCTCTCCGATTCTATGGAACGTGCTTGATTGTCACATTTTTCATTTCCTCTTTTTATTTATTCACTTCTCATGCTGGAGGAAGAGGAATTAACAGTCTTCCGCCTATTCCGCTACCTTTTTCCATCTCCCCTGATTCCGAAACTGTTCAAGTCTAATCTTGGTTAGATCTAAATTCAGGGCATATTATGACAAAGTACAATTTATAGATGAGCTACACAGGAAACGTGTTTTCTATTCAATTCTGCATACATTTTTTGTTGTTGGAGGTGGTGTGTTCCTAGAGTTTTAACTGTCTTCGTTTGTGAATCGATTAATTAGGTTGCTACTTATCAGTACTTCATCCTAAACTCTTTGGCAATTGTCTAATCTTTGTCTGAACATCAGACGTCATCTTTCTGAAAAAAATCTCACCGAAGCCTCTGCTCCAGGTCGCTCTTCTTCTCTGCTGGTGCTTTCACTGCTGTCTGGGGACATCCCCGACCTCACTCTTGCTGCCCGGTTTCCATAAAAACCAAGGTCTTTACTGAGTTGATATTTTATTAATGTCCCTCCCCCACCCCACACCACTTTTTATTTAAACACGAGTCTGACTTAAAGGACATCCACTTTAATGGGACTTCTGCACCTTGCAAAACCACGATGGAAGGTCGAACCTACCCATCATGTTGCGCAAACTCTTAAATAAGGAAACACATAATATGCTCATTCTTTTAATAGTAACTGGACCGGGAAAACAGCTCTTTCTCATGTGCATCCTTTTATGTTGCCAGACTATAATTATTATTTAATGCAGCAGTTCTGTTTTTGCTTTATTTAATGGGAAAATAAAAGTAGAATTCCAGCTCAACTGCAGTAGTCAGTTCATTTTGGATGCAGAGTAATATTAATTTCTCTGTCTTTAGATATTTTTCTGCCCTTAATATACTGTGCTGTAAAAATGCTTGATGGTCCTATTTTTATCTTTAGTTATTTAAATCATCTCACTTTTGCTATAATAGGCAGAAAATGTATGTGCTGAAAGATGAATTAAGTTTAACACAGGAAGAGGTGTCATATTTATTTAACTCAATTTTCTTTTAAGAGGTTCGGGGATTTATACGCATTTAATGGAGATGATCTTTATTTGTGATGGGAAGAACCGAACAACATATAGTGTTAAATGCTCCTTGATGGCAGAACAAATTTTCAAATAACCTTTCCCCCGTACTGTGAACAGCACACAACAAAGTCCCTTAATAAAACAAAATGATTGACGTGGATATGCACTTGACCAACGGCACAGTTCAAATGTCCAAGTTCACAAAGCCTGTGTAGAAGACAAGATCATGACAATCTCTGCTATATAAAAACTTTTGTACTTAGCCAAGTTCAAATATGAAATGATTAATTATTTAGATGCAAAGGAATTTGCCTTCTCTTAACCTTTAATCGGATAATTTTTGGGATCCACTGTTCTTAAATTTTTAGGCACATCTGAGCAGACTGTCTTATTTAACTGGCATGTTTCTCCTGTCGGTCATTCCTGATTTTCTCTAATTTGGTCTTGCTTTCTGTCATGTGACCCCAGGGACCACAGCCAGTGACAAACTCAGATTAAGCAGCAGAGATGCCAATAAATCTCCTTTTAGCGTTCCTGAAGCCACCAGAAAGCACCTCAGAAAAAACTAAACTATGTCCTGCGGGACTCAATATTCCTTATTTAAATGTCAAACTACGAATTTTAACAAAAAAACACAAAAATATATTCCATTACTCTTATGCTTCCTAGAAAGCACTTTTCCGTACAAGGATTCATTGATTTTTATCACAAATCGGTTTAATGATGACATGTACTACTAAAATGCATATACCTGATCTGAGCCTCATTGTTGAGGTAATCTTGTATAAGACCAAAAAGAGGAATGGTTAACCAAAATTTTAAATAATTTTGAGGTATCCGAAGAATACATAGAGAAGGTAAACCATCAAAAAATATATAAAACATCATTTATATTAAATAATTTTATAAATATAGATAGGATAAGGCATTTATCCAAAATTTTTGTTTCATAAAAGAGTATAACTTAAAATATGATGGTTTACTAAGCGTATATAAAATATTTAGAACCACATAATGTGACCAAATCAAAATGTGGATATGTTCGCAGCAGCAAGCAGCCATTGGAAATTGTGTCGTGTATTAATAAACTCTAGTTTGCTCTCAGATTACCGAGCCTTTCTCTGGGAAGGTCTGGCATTGCTACTTAAGTTTTTTCTTGGCTTCAGGATAGTCTTTAATCTAGAGTTGAAAAGTATGAGTTTCAGTGCTTGTTAACTCATCTCCGTTTTGACTCCTTTATTTAAATAAATGCTAATACATGCAGTTGAGGGGTATATAAGCAAGACTGCTTGCCTTGAGAACTTTTCTTATGTATCAGTGTTTAAAATCCTAGATCTACAGAAGTCGTTCAGAGCCCCACATCCACAAACTCTAGAATAATCCCTTAGCCAACGATATTTTGAGAAATTCTGGCATAGTTTCCTAAACAAGTAATTGATAAGTGTTTTTTTTCTTTCTTTCTTTTTTTTTCTTTTTTTTTTGCTTTTGCTGGCAACCACTACTACGTGTCCGACAGCATTCTTTTTGTCTCTTTGACATTTGTCAGAAGTCAGTCAAGGTTGGGAATGGCTGCCTTCAATCAGATGAAACATTCAAAGCAATATTTTGGTTCCAAACCTCAGATGTCGTAAGTTTCTGAGACTCAGTCCGGTAGATCCCGATGGGGATGTCCCCGGAGGAGGAACACAGCTTCTGATACAGCCGGGCGTACGTTCTGATCCATAAGTCATCCTCGGTGATTTTCATCTAGAATACGTACGAATCATTTACACGTTAACTTGGGAAGATATAAAAACTCAGTGGTTAATTTTCACTTCTTAAGGTTAGAATCTATCGATACTTTGAATTCTCAAAGTGCCAAGTCACAAGTGCTTATCCACGTGTTAAACTGATTAGTTGCACCCCATCTCAGCCTTATCCCTGGGGTTCCCCCAATCCTAAGAAACCAGCTACTCAATTTGTGGCAGCATGACGTTGTATTCGTTCAATCCAGGAGACATTAGGCACTGGTCATTGACTGGGAGATGTGTTTTTGAATGTTGCAATAACTGGATGTTAGTCACTGGTCATTGACTGGGAGATGTGTTTTTGAATGTTGCTGCTACTGGAGTTAGTGGACAGGGTCTGCCGATGGTACAAATTTTAGAGTGCGAAGGACACTTCGGCACAAAAAAGAACTGTCCATCCAAAGTTCTCATGACACCGGCACTGAGGAGGACGTTAGCAGAATGAGCGCAGGCTCGCAGACTAGAGACGTAACAACTAGTCCCTCTGCTAGTCCTAAATCTGAATCGTTGGCAAGTCACTTCATGAAACACACTTAGTGCTGGCACACTCAGCCGTAAATCACAGGCCTCCGGTGCCATCGCGGTTGCCCTCCACAGCATGGCCTCCTGGGTCAGAAACCTTCGGCCTCAAATCACCAGCTAGAAAAAAACACCTGTTCCGAACTGTGGACGGAATGGCTATTTACCATGAATATTAATTTCAAATAATGTGTTCTCTTGAACATATTTTAAGGACTTAAAAAACCATGATGCTAGTTTTGAGCAGATATTAGAGAAAAAAAATGACGTCGAAGAGTTAGCCAAAGTCCATTGAGATGGATTTCAGACCGTCTACGCGAACCATCTTCTCTCGCAGAAACGATTAACTTACAGAACAGAGGAAGCCCGACCCCGGGGTGGTGTCCAATCCCAGCAGGAGTCTGGTGACAGAAATCATGTAGTCCTTCACAAATGACTGCAATATAAACAAAACAGCTCCTTACTACGGGTATGAAAGGTGCGGAGCAGCTAGCAGTGCGAACACCGTCTCACTTCTAAAAGGTTATTTCTCGTAACACATCATTGAGTTTCCGTAAAAAAGGAAATAAAAGTCTATCTTGTCAGAGTCCTAAATACACATGCACCGTTACGCTGTCCTTAAGGAGATGTGGGGAATAATTGTTCTCTAGAATATCTCGATATGCTTAAATTTTATGCATGCTGCTAAGCATGATAGAAACATTTTTAGATTTTAATAAAAATATGTTGATATAGAGAATATCATAAAAACTTGAAAGAACTAAAATTTGCCATGAAATATTTCAATAAGTTTTTTTTAGGATTAAGCTCTATGCTAGTAGAATACATTTCTAGTATTTAAATAAATCTGAATGTTAATGAATTAATAGCTTAGTATTAAATGTCATTTTGTGGTCTAACAATAAGATATAGTTTAGTATGTTGCTAGAACACCACTCAGTATTTAGCGTTAATGATGCTTCCAGTTTCTTCGATTTATTCTTAGCTCCGAGTGAAAAAAGCTTTCAAGCAAGACAAGGCATGTTTTGCCATAACATGTAGCAATTATTTATAAATTGTATAAAATGACTGCCTTCAGTTCGATCTTCAAATGTTTAAAAATGAAAAACGTAAATAATCTGCTTATTTTGCATAGCAAAGATGGCAAAGATTTTTTACAAGTTATAATGTTTTTTAAGTAAATCTGCTAACCCACTTCCTTGATTACTAGTTCATTTTACCAACACCTGGTATCAAAAAGCTAAATTCTTCCATCTAAGGAGAGCAAACATGTCCATTTCCTTTATTCAGGCCAAAGAAGTGGCCTTTTGGCTTTCAACATGTATTAGTCTCCCAGCAGTTAGGACGCGAATATCATAGAGGGCCACCAAGAAAAGTTGTGACATACGCCTTTATAGAGTGTCCTTTAACTTCATCTCTAACTCGGTGTCTGCTAAAGAAGGGTTTAGAAACAAATTCTCAGGCACTTAAGACTATTTTCCAAGATGAGAAATAGAAAGTACTCATGGAAGAGAAAAACCCACTAAAGACCTAGAACATGACTGTTTTAAGTTATTTTAGAATCAGATGCAGTAATACAGCTAATTTGTCTACTGTATTCGTCACCAACACATTCTTTGTCCAGAGGTCATTTGTCCTGTAACTTCCTCAGGGCACAGACAAAGAGTAGGAGTGAGCCAGAAAGATGTGCTCAGCCTCACACGTTACAAACCCCTGCAGTAAATCTCATGAAATTCAACCATAGAAGACTTTCGGTTTCACTTAGCTCTATTTAACTTTACTTTAGATAATACTTATTTTTTAATAATTGATTTCCTAGCTTTACAAAGATGATGATTACTAACAATTATTAAAATATAAAAGCGATCTGTGTTTCAAGTGGGAAGGAGGAAAGGGTCCATTGAAATGTAACAGAGGGAAAAAAATCTTTCAGTAAGTTGAAGTATCATAAAAAACTCAAACGCTATACAAGAGTGGGATTGTTCCCCACAGGGACAGGGATGGGCAGGAATGATCCGATGACGTGTGCATGGCCTGATGTCGAGGGGTCACACTAACCACTAGGTAGTTTCTCTGTGAGCCCTCGCGTCTCATCTACATGTCGTGAGTGAGGACACTGCCGACATCACAGTTTCCTTTGGGGAAACAAACACAACGATGTCTAGGATAGAATTACATCAATGATAAATCGCTACACAATTGTAGTCATTAATAATAGTTTTTGAATATACAATATAAACATTCTTAAGAAGATGAGCTTAATTCATTAACCGTAATAATTAGATGGTATATAGTATACTTTAAAAACATAAGAATGCTTATTATATAATTTGAGGAATCATATATATGTTTTTATATCTATAACCCATGACTTAGTCCTCTTCACCTGTCTGAAAAACGGACCACGATTATATCTCATTTGCGGTCAAGAGAAGGTTAATTGGCAGTTACTATTTTGAAAGTTATTTTTCTAGTTCACTGTTTCTGAAATAGCTCTAGAAAACACAGAACTTCTTGTATCTTATTATAAAAAATGTGAGATAAAAACGAAGAGAAAGAAATTATAGCTTTTCCTCCTCTCCGAACTCCTTGGTAATGATCAGAATTGCGTGCGGGGTAACCTGTGTTTGCAAAGGGTGGGAACCCCTCGGCCCCCGCCCCCCACTGCCCTGCAGTGCCCACTAATGCATCCGAGAACCTTAAGGCAAACGGGAGTGCTCGCTCTCCCTGGCTGGCTGTGCTCCTGCACTTATCTGGCAGAAGCACGTGGTTTGTGACATGTGACATTGCTAGAGGCACACTCAGGGCCGTCATGAGCCCAAAGGCCAATAGAAAAGCTTTAACTTTTTAGATTAGTTTGTTCAGTCAAGCATTGCAGAAGAGGGTACATAAAATATGTATAAGCACAACGAAATGTTCGAACGCTGAATTCGAGATTAAAGTTCTCGCATGACAGCCCTGTGAATATCTTTTTTCTCTTAATGGAAATATTTAGAAATCGATTACTTGAATCTGAGAATATGAAATTTTACTGCTATTCAGTTTATAGCAGAGTCAAAAAATTTTAAAACATATTTGCGTAAAATAACATCTCTGTGAACATCTTATGATAAAATGACAGTGTTAACTTTGGCCTTCCAGAACAAACTAAGTGGTTTTTAGTTGTTTGTAAAATCTTTTTCATATTTTTCTAAAACAGGTGATAATTAGCAGATGTTTAAAATGTCCTTGGTTTATCAGTTTATTGGCATTGATTTTGATATCTTATTTTTTAAAAATATGCGTTATAAAACAGCTATTTCTTTAACGTAGTAATTTTTCCTTAGCTTTTTTTTTTAGTCTAGTAATAAAGATATAGCAACATGCAACTTGTATTAAAATGTCACAGTAAACATTGTAGGACACTGGTTTAGGCTAAAGAATCCTTAAAAATTTAAGCTAAAGAATGCCTAAAAATTATTTCTTAGATTGCTCCGAAAAATATTTTTTTCTTACAAAATGTTTTATAGGCACATCGATGTCCTTAAATACATGAAATAAAATATTGAATTACTTCCAGAGCCAATGTTGAGTTAACAGCTCCACGAGAAACCCTAGTTATATTATTTATTTAATAAAATCCAAATGAAATATAGAATAAGCATATTAGAGAGCAAAAAGGAAAGATCGCGTACCTGGTAAAGAAGTGTGTCCAGCATACTGATGCTAAACACCCTCCCCGCAGCAAAAGGCAGTCGGAACATAAAAGCCAAATTAGAACCTCTCTCTCGTTCTTTCTGTTCAGAAATTTGAAATCGAAAAATTCGTGAGCATTCTGTAATTTACGCTTCTCTGCTTAGTTAAATTTTCCTGATGTACGTGAACAAGGTATTTTTATTACATGGTTCTTAGCTGTGAATTTGTCATTACTTCATTTATAATTGTATTTTTAACACATTTCTTTAATTTTCAGGACTAAGGTTTCTTGATCATTTAAAATAGCCAATAGTTAAGAAAGGTTAATCCTTTAGACAGTCGACATTTATTCTTCATACCTACTTCTGAAAAGAACACAATAAAAAACATTTAATGAGACTAAAAATAAAACCCTAAAGCCACATAACTTATAACACCTAGAAGATCTCTACTGAATATTCTCATATGTGAGGGCAAAACAATAGGCAGGTTGGAGCTGTCACATGCAGTGGTTTCTTCTAGCTTCTGGCATCTGAGTTTTCATTACATGCCCTTTAAATTGTGCTAGCTGCACCAACGTGCAGCTAAGCTTCTGTAAATGAAAAAAAAGAAAAGAAAAAGAAATGAATTGTGTGTGTGTGTGTGTGTGTGGTTTGGTGTATGGGCATTTCTTTTGAAAAATTCTGTTATCTTCCTTCCATAAATGAAGACATGAGAGCAAATATTTGTGTAAGACTGGAAGGTATTTCTTAAGCGTGCAGGTTACTCTTGGACTTAGCTGATGGTCATCTCAAAAATGCCGATTTCATTTGTGGCCGACTTCCTTTTACCGAGCAGGACCGATACAGCTAAGCAAGTCAGCAAAGCATCCCCGACTCTCGGGGCAGTGGAAGCGAACACCCGTTCCTAGTGTAGCAGACGTGCGGGACCACACGGGCAGGGGGACCTCCCGTCCACCATTTCAGAGGGGGTCTGGCTGAAGGACGAGTCGTGGAGATGAAGAGGGCTATGGCTGCTGCTCATTGTGCTGACGGGTCGACAGTGACTTGACCTTGGCTCCCCTGGGAGAAGGACAAGGTTGGGACTCAGCGCCCGCCCCTCCAAGGAGCAGGAGGGGTCGGTCCGCCATGTCACTCGTGTCTACCTGGCTGAGAAGACTTCCAGACTCTAAGAACGTCCTCATTTGAGATGTAGGGAGAAGGTAAAAAGGGAGGACGCCAGGCGGCGTCCCAATTTGTGTCCGTGTCCACTAGGTCGCAATGTATTCTCTCATTTATTAGCCTGAGTGTCAAGAAAACCTAGTCTGAATAGTCCATGTAGGCGGCTGGAGATGGCTGGAATGATCTGACTTGATTGCAGGGTTATTAGCTTTTCCCGTGAACTTGGGGCCGAATCTGGTTCCTGAGGTGTGGGCAGCATCCCGGGTAGCTTAAGCCCACGTCGCAGCAAGAAGCCAGAGCGAAGGGCTGAGACCCCCGAGACTCTGAGGGCCAGGACCTGTCGCGGGGCCGAGTGGGAACCACCGGATGGATGGTTGGGGTTGCACTTGGCCTCTCCGGTCGTTTCCGTCCTTGAGGGCTGACGGCTGTGAGTCGCCGGGGTCTCCCGGATGAAGGACCGTGACCTTTTTCCTGCTTGCTCTGCTAGCTAACGAGGGGCGTGGGGCACACAGTGGCGAAGCACACTTCTGTGGTTTTGCAGTTGAAATGAATGACTCACCGCTGAGTCTAGAATATTTTTGTTTGTTTGTTTTCATAGTCTCCAAAAGACCGGCCCATATGTTGCCTCGTTAGCATACTATCCGGTATGACTGAAAAAGATGATTAACAAAAGACACTCCTATCGCTCAGGAAATTGCAAGGGTTTTTGAAGCTATGTGTCAAGAGCTAGGGCCAAAGACCCAATATGTTTTTCTTATTAAAACACTATTCATCTCACATTTTTATGACTCTGCTTCTTACATCAGGGCGTAATTACCACATGATCGTTAAAGTGTAATTATGACCATCACTGGGGAATGGTGATCATTCAAAAGCAGTTTTAAAGGAAGCGGTCTCGAAGCACATTGTGCCATAACGGTGAATAAAAAGGCTTTTTTTTTTTTTTAAATGAAATGCATCAAATCGAGAGAAATGAAATAAGTCTTGACAAGGAAACGAGGCGAGGATCCCTCCTTCTGCTGTTATTGTCACCTTCTCCGCCTCACGATTTCTCGTCACGTCGTCCATCTCTGCGTAGCTCTTGCCCTGCGGTTCTGACGCCCGCTACACCTGCTTCGTTAGCGCGTCAGCGACCCCCCGGGACCGCCGACCACACATGGGAAGTAGCGTGGGGAAAACAGTGGCAATGATGGGGACATCCATGAGACGAAGGGTAACGTAGAGCAAAACGGAACAACCCAGCAGCAAAAATGGACAACAAGCAAGATCAGACGCAAACGAGAGTGTAAGCGAGAGGGTGACTGATGTCTGGGAAATTTTCCGATAGATTTTACAAATTCAGAGAAAATAGTGTGAAATTTGCACTGTGAAAAACAATATAAATAAAGTCACTTGCGATAGAAACAGTTCAAATCCACAAATTCACATTAAAAAAAAAAATATATATAT